CTGATTCTCCCACGAGGAGGTCATGGAAAGATTCCACGATGTATTCGATCATCCCCATGAACTCATCGTTCATAGGGGGTGGGGGCATGCGTTGTGCCACAAGGTGGCCAACGGTCTCTATGGCATTGCATAGACCGAACGGGAGCGCTGTCGGGGCGCTCTGGATGAGGTATTCCAGGGAGAGCGGCTCTCCTCCGGCAAGCTATGTCATGACGTTGGCAAACGAGAAGGTGAGGTGGCGCAGGTCCTCCTAGGACGGTCGGGGTCCTAGGAAGGCGCTGAGCTGGCGCTCTAGCCTCCCATAATTGAAGCTGAGGAGTTGGTCGCTCCTGGGGGCGTGGGCCTCCGGTGCGTGCAGTTGCAGCTCCTCAAGTGCTCTCAGCAATCGCATCGAGGCCTGTGGAGTGGAGAGGTTGGACGGCGGCATGAACCTGCGCTAACTCTCCCTCTGTCGTAATGATGAAGTCTAGGTTCCCGAAGCACACGTGCACGCCCGGGACCCAGCTGATGCCGTGAATAGCCATCTGAGGCCTGATGTGGACGTCGAGATGCGTAAAAAGCCCCTACCTGGCACACCAACTGTTGGTGTTTTCGAGCCACCGACGAGTAAATTTGTATTTGCACGTCTGGCTCGGATGGTATGCTCGGAGGACACAAGGGTTTACACTGGTTTGGGTGGAATGTCCCTACATCCAGTTTGCTACTGCTCGTGTTACCAGCACTTGGTTTACAGTAGGGGTTACAAACAGGCGAGAGAGAGAGAGAGGATCCTAAGTCTCTGGTGGAAGGAGTGTACGGGTGCTGAGAGCTCGCTCGCCGCTTAGCCGTGTGCTCATGTCGTGTTCTTGCATTCAGATCTCCCCCCTCCTTGGATCGCCCTACTTCCCCTTTTATAGACGAAGGGAAAGCGTGGGTTACAGAGGAGGAAAATTAGAAGAATGAGAGAGAGAAGAAGGCTTCTAGGGTTGCCGAGTCCTTCTCCTTCATGCGGGTCCCACCCATCCTATAGATGTCAACAGGGATGGCTCCATGTCGCGGCCCTATTCATCACTGGCGCCATGCGCAGGCATCATCTATCGGTCATGGCGTTCCACTCCTTCCCGGTGGACATCGTGGTGAACTGACACGCTTGTTAGTGTTCGTACGAGGATTAGGCAGAACAGCATCGGCGCGTCCGGCACTGTTCTTGATGTGAATCCCTAGGTATGGCCCATCATGGCCATGGGTTACATCAAGACGTGCCAGCCTCTTCCCTGGCGTCAGAGTTTTGACCCAGGCCCATACGCTTAGACCTGGAGTGGTTGGTGGCGTTATGGGTCCCCGTCGGACGAGACGGAACCCGCGTCCTCAAGGCCGGGCAAGACGGAGCTCGTGACCTTGAGCGAGACAGAGCCCGCACCCAAGGGGTCGGGCGTAAAGATGGCAACGGGCACAGAATGTCCGCATGCCCGTCGGCATGGAACCCGATGGACAAGGATACGGGCACCACTTCTTGCCCGCAGGCACGGGCGCGGGCACCATCCTGAACCCAGAGGATAGTTCTTCGCGGGCAAAGAAATTTGCTATCCTCGCCCACGTATCCGCCAAACCCGCTCCACAGGTCTGACATGTGGGACCTACAAGCAAATATATGCATATATACACAATTCCTAGGGTTTATTCCTGATTCAATCCACACCCCACCCCACTCAGCCACCCCAATCCCCGCCGCCACCCCATCGTCTCGGTCTCTCAGAGACTTGGATTCTCACCTCGCACTGCGCTCGGCCGGTAGCCGCCCTCGCCGCCTCGAGCCATCACGCGGGCGAGGCCACGACCACGAGGGGGGTGCCCCTGCGTGACCACCGCCGCCCATCTAAGCCGCCCCCTCCCCTGTCCCTGGCCAGCCGCCTGCCCCTAACGCCCAAGCCCGTCACCCGCGACCCCGCCTCCCCATTCCCCCACTCGTAGCCGCGCGCGGCTCCTCCACTCACGGCATCGACATGGCTCCTTCACATGGGGCGTCGCGCCTCCCCCACTCATGCCACCCCGACGCTGGCCTCCGGCCTCCTTACTCCAACAGCTAGCGAACGCTGGCCTTCCCGCTCCAAGGCTCCCACTCGCGATCGCGGCGCCTCCCGCCACTCGCGCGACTCCTCTGAGATCCAGCGCACTCCGACGGCCTCGTACGGCTCCTCTCCAGTCTCCACGCATGACTTCTCTCCAGATCTAGCGCACTCCGACGCTGGTCGCCATCCTCCGAGCCTCCGACGCTGGCCGTCGGTTGCCATCCTCCCCGCTCAGAGCCTTCGAGGCTCCAACCTAGGCCGTCGTCCCCGCCGGGCAGGTCGCTGTCCCACCGCGCTGGCGGTGCAGGCAAGACATGCCCGTGGATAGCGGGTGTGGGCACAGAATGCTAACCATGGTTGATGGAGGGTGTGGGTGCGGGTGCACAATTTGTCTCGCGGGTACGGGTCTATGAGGCCTGTATCCACGGGTAACATACCCGTTGCCATCTTTAGTCGGGCGAGACGGAACCCGTGTCCTTGGGGTCGGGCGAGACGAAGCCTGCACCCAAGGGGTTGGGCGAGACAGAGCTCGAGGTTGGACGAGACGGAGCCCACGTCCTCGAGGTCGGGTGAGATGGAAACCGCGTCCTTGGGGTTGGTCGAGATGGAGCCCGTACCCAAGGGGTCGGGCGAGACGGAGCCCGCGGCCTTGAGGTCGTGCGACATGGAAATCGCGTCCTTGGGGTCGGGCAAGACGGGGCCCACGGCCTTGAGGTCGGGTGAGACGGAGCCCGTGGCCTTGAGGTCGGGCGAGACGGAGCCCGCATCCTTGGGGTCCGACGAGACTTTTGAATATGTCTTGAGCCATCCGGGGAAGTCAGCGTGGGCGCTAACTTCCTTGCTTTGGGTATCCCTAATATTGATACCCGACATAGCTTCTCATAATGTTGAGGGCGCCGAGGCCAAGTCCGCTCGTCGGTCGCTGCCATATAGCGGATGAGGGCGGTGTCGCTATGGGACCCATCGCCTCGCAGTTGCAGGTTGCTGTCGCACCGCAGCCCGCCACTGTGCGCCTGTGCCCACACCGCGTGCGTAGGAGCCCGGAGGTGGCGGAGGTAGTGGCAATGGAGGTCCGAAGGGCAGGCCGTGGGACGACAGCTGTAGTGAAATCCCTACACGCGGGTTGCATGACGCCACGGCAAAGGCCCAGAGCGCAGGACGGGGGGCATTGGCGGCGGCCTCGGCTGCGATGGAAGCCCAGAACGCGGATCGCAGGACGCTGCGCGCCTGCGCGGTGAAGGCCTGGAGCGCGGGTCGTGAGGAACCGGCGGCGGTGGCCAAGAGTTGGTGAAGATCGGGGGTGCAGGTGGAGACCGCGCGGGATGGGGAGTGAGATCTGGAGCGCGCGCGACAGGGAAGCTGATTGGGAGCGTGGTTTCCTTTCTTGTCGGATAGAGCATTCACGCGAGGGAGTTTCCTTTCTGGTCGGACGGAGCCTTCACGCGAGGGCCTCGCAGGATCACAGGCGTCTGGCAGACCAACGAGCTGAGCAAGGGTGCGGGATCGCAGCAGGCAGGACGATGGACCCACGTTGAAATGTCGCGCCAAAACGGTGTCTACTGTTTAGTCTTTTTAGTTGTAAGACTGTCTCCAACAGGCTATGCATCACTCTACCCATACCCAAAATGTATCGTTCACAAGAAAAAAACACCCTCCAACAGAGTAGGCAAACGGAGTACCTATTTTGCGTCCAAGGTGAGAGGGAGCCCAAAACTGCATCGTCTCTCTCCTCAGACCCAAATCTGTGCCGTCGAGACAGCGTAGGAGACAGGCAAACAGCGTAGGAGGCGCCGGGGTGAGGCGGACGACGGCTGCGAGGCAGCCCCGAGCGGCGCCCCTCCCTCCTCGCAACTTCCCGAGCGGTGCCCCCTCCCTCCTCGCAACCTCCCGAGCGGTAGCCCTCCTCGCGATCGCCCTCTCCCGGCGTGGGTGTCGCGCGCTCCGGCGGCAGGGGCCCTGCAGGGGGCGCCGCGCGCCTTGGCGTCGTGCTTCGCGAGCTCCGGCGGCGGATCGAGGCGGTACGAGGCAAATCGAGGCGGATCGAGGCACATCGAGGCATATGCGACGGCGTGCGGCTGGATCCCTCCTTCCTCGGCCAGATCCGGTTGGGGGCGGTGGTGCTCCTCTCCTTCCCCGACCAGATCCGGCATGGAGGCGAGCAAGGAGGAGGCCAGCGTGGAGGCGGCCGGCGCTCGGCGGGGAGAGAGGCGGGCGGCGCTCGGGGCCTCTCTTTTTGCGTTCACTGTTGGAATTCGCCAGTTTTATGTGCGTTTTTCCTTCGCTGTGCATGACCCAAACAGTGAAATAGGTCTCGTGTTTGGATCGGCTCTGTTGGAGATAGTCTAAGAGATGGGGAGCCGCAGAAAGAAAGTAGGCCTGTTAGGTTGTTGGGTTAGTCGTGCGCAGGTGCGGAAAGCGACGCCAGATGCACGGACGCCCGATCTTTAGCGTTACCGATACTTGCAGTTCATCAATAATCTAGTTCGTACTTAACGGACATCCATAGTTCCCAACTTCCCGTACCAACACAAGGCATCCCAGTGCACTGCTGCACAACCAAAGCATCAATAGCATGGATATATTTCCTCTGATAAGAGGCTTATGCTTTGAATGGTTTGCGTGTGTTTGTCCCCCACACCGTTCGCCTCTCGGCGTCTGCGGAGTCCAATGCCCAACCCATGCACGGGTACGGTACGGGTGTGCGACCTACTCCGGACACCTGGATGGCTGGATGGTCGCGGACGCCAAAACCCCGGTACCGAAAGCCCCGAACCCATCAGACTGACGTGTGACCGCGGCTGCTCGCCGCTCAGCCACCAGACGCCACGACCGCACCATTTCCGTTTCCGTCACCCCTGGCCCTTTACCAGTCGCCACTTTATTATGCACAACCGCGCACGCGCGCCATCGACTTCGTCCAAGAAACGCACCCCGCCCACCCACCACCGCCAGATGACGACGCCTCGCCAACATGCGGCGTCGTCGCCGCTCGCCGTGGTCACGCTGCTTTTGCTACTGCTGCTGCTCGACGCTCCCGCCGCCGCGCAGCAGAGCCCGTCGCGGGACAAGGATAACGGTGACGGCGGAGGTGGCATGCCGGGCCAGGCGCCCAGCTTCAGCGCTCCCATGGTCGTGCTGCTGGTGGCGCTCATCGCGGCCTTCGTCTTCATCGGCTTCTTCTCCGTGTACATGCGGCGGTGCGGGCGCGGCGCCTCGGCGGGGCCCGGGATCCCGGCCGCCGCGCTGCTCGTTCTGTCGCGGGAGGAGCAGCGGAACCAGCAGCAGCAGCGCGGGCTCGACCCCGCCGTGGTCGCGTCGTTCCCGACGATGAGGTACGCCGACGCGAAAGCTCTCCGGGTCGGCGGCGGCAAGGACGCCGCGCTCGAGTGCGCCGTCTGCCTCAGCGAGTTCGAGGACGACGAGGAGCTCCGGCTGCTGCCCAGCTGCAGCCACGCCTTCCACCCGGACTGCATCAGCGAGTGGCTCGCCGGCCACGTGACGTGCCCCGTCTGCCGGTGCAACCTGGATCCCGAGGAGCCCGCCGCGGCTGAGGCTGCCAGCTCCGGTGAGGCGACGGGGGAGGCGCAGCAGCAGCAGCAGGATCAGGTGGCCATCGACGTGAGCCACGATGGCGCCGAGGAGGAGGACAGGAGACGCCGGGAGGTGGCGATGGAGCTGGAGCGGATCGGGAGCCAGCGCCGCGCGGTGCGGTCCCGGTCGGGGCGGCCGGCGGCGCCGCCCGTGCCCGTCCCGCGGTCGCACTCGACAGGCCACTCCCTCGCCACGCGCCTCAACGGCGACCTGGAGCGGTTCACGCTTCGGCTGCCGGAGCACGTGCGCAGGGAGATGGTCGCCGCGGCCGGCGAGGAGAGCCTGCGCCGCACGGGGGCGCGTGAGCGTGACGCCCGCGGGAACGGCGGCGCCAGGAGCGCGCGGCTCGGGAGGTCGGACCGGTGGCCGTCGTTCATCACCCGGACCCTCTCCTCGCGGGTCCCGTTCTGGTCCGCGTCGTCGAGGAGGGCGCCCGACCTGGAGGCGGCGGCCGTGGCAGCGGGGACGACGGGAGGGTCCACGAGAACCAGGCGTGAAAAGACGGGCGGCGCGTCGGAAGGCTCGGTGACCCCAGCTAAAGGCAGCGTGCGCTTCGACTGCCTCAGCGGCGTCGCCCCCGCCGTGACGGGCGCCAGAGTCGGCGCCGCGGCCGGCGACAGCGAGACGGAGGACGACGACGAGGAGGAGAAGGCGATCGCCCGGCAGCGGCAGGCTTGAGCGTGCGCTCGCATGTGCTGCTCGCCTACTTGCCCCATTCGTCCGTTGAAATGGCAACGGCAGCCATGTCGCACGGACACTGCACGTGGTCTGGACTCTGGTGGCGTATCAATGCGCGACGAGAGAATTGGGACGAGACGAGACGCTGCATGTCTGGAGCGATCTGCAGCGCATCCACAATCCATCGCCATGTGAATGTGATCCGCGAGACGAAGCGGGTCGCACGCGAGTGGGAACGCACCGCTGAAGCGGTGATTCCGTCGTTCAGCTGCAAGTAGTTTTCTTTTTCAAATCTTTTGTCTTGGCGTCTAGTACTTCTTTGAAAAAAAAAGAGAGAGTTCTTGATTCATTTCTTTCGTTGCCTACTTGAGAAATTAGTATTTAAATAGATTTAGAAAAAAGATTGAGATAAGTGTTGACTGATTATTGTGTCTTTTCGTCCACACCGGCACATGGTTTATCCTACTTACCGGACGGAGATGGATGGTTTTGAAGTTATGCAACAAACCAACAGAGCACTGTCGCCTCAAACATACGAACTCTCCCGTCAAAATGTAGGATCGATTCACACTAAAATAGGCAATCAGAGGGGGTGAATGATTGCGAAAGTCAAAAAATAAAATTTAACACTTCCCCCTATGAACTAAGGCCTATTCAAACCTTGTTTACAATTCCAGGCAGAACACAATGCCTTCACTAAAATATTCTTGACAGAAATTCATAGCTCTACTTGACCTCAGATTCTTACAGATTAAATTAAATTAAATTCTTGAGCTAACCCAACTGGAATCACGTCAAACAGAGGTCTAGAGCTTGAGATACAAAAATAACAAGTACGCTGTGTCAGGTAGTGACGAAAATTAATTAGCAGAAATTATAAGCAACTTCATAGTCCTTAATTGAGATAGAATCAAATTGGAAGACTGCTGCTGTGCTAAGACGGAAACTTATACTTTTAACCCATTTGTGTTTATAGCACAAGAAAAGAAGAGCTCAAAACATATAATGCACAGACTATTAATTTTACTCGGCACACATAGTTGCTATAAATATTCAACCAGGACAAAGATGACAAACTGTTATACCACCAAGCCTAATACCAGCGGATCAGTTTGCAAACATTGATCTTTATTACTCCAGGATGTTTACAGGATGCATCACACAAGCATCCTCACAAGGATTTCTCTCAAATCCCTAAGGCCTAAAACAGCCGCCACTGCTGCTGCCTTCCTGCTCGTCGCTCTCTTCACCCTGAGCAAGAGAACCCAGGTATCCTCTTTTATTTCCCAGAGCCAAGTCCAAACCGGCCCTTGGCCTTCTGGCTACACAGCCAAGTCCAAATTGGCAGCATCTCCTTTCATTTGTGCTAGAGGCCAATCGTTGGCGGCGTCTCTCGAAGCTAGCTCAAAACTCCTCTCCTTTCTTCGTACTCATGCATTGGCAGCATTCTTCGTACTCATGCATTGGCAGCATCTCCCATCGGCAGCATCCTCTTTCATTTTCTTTAGAAGCCAACGTTGGCAGCATCTACAGCAAAAAAAACAAAGCTCCACAACAGCCCAAGCATGCATGCGTGGCCATCAAGCGCCAATACCGGCCATGCACCACACGCGCACACCATCATGCATGTGCACGCATGTCCATCTCCTTGCCTGCACTCACGATCATGCTCCCATACATTTCTTGCATGTCCATGTATCGCGACCGCCAATCGTCATCACATCGTAGCCTGTTGTCGGTTATCGATATTAGGATACCGGAGGAAGGAGGTTAACAGCCACGAACGTTAATTCGCCCAAATGGTTCAAGACGTATTTAAGGTCTCGCCCGACCCCGAGGGCGAGGGCCCCGTCTCACCGGAACCCTCGGGCATGGGCTCTGTCTCGCCCAACCCCGATCCATACCGCCTCCAACCACTACGGGTATAAGAGTACGACCCCAGGGTTAAACTTCTGACATCGGGAGGGAAGCGGGCACGTCTCGACGTGACCCGTGGCCACGACGGACCATACCTGGGGGCTCACGTTGCCAACAATTTTGGGTGTGTCGGCGCTGTGCTGCCTAATCCCCGTACGGCTTCTGACAGGAGTACCTGTTGACCACGTCGCCCGCTGGAACGGAGTGGAGGGCCGCGACCGGCTGACGACGCCTGCGTATAGTGCCAGGGACAAACAAGGCCGCGACGTGGAGCCATCCCCATCATCATCTACAGGACCGGCGGGACCTGCATAAAGGAGATGAAGGATGCCGCGACCCTGGAGGTCTTCTTCTCCCTTGCTTTTCTCATTTTCTCTCTTTTCTCTCTCTGTAACCTGCGCCTTCCCCTTCACCTATAAAAGGGGAAGCAGGACGCCCCATGAAAGGGGAGGCACGAGCACACGGCTGAACGAGCTCAACAAGACTCAACTCTGTTCGATCTTTTCATCAGAGACTTGGGACCTTTTCTCTCTCTCGCCCATTTGTAACCCCTACTACAAACTAGTGTCGGTAACACGAGCAGTAACAGACCGAACGTAGGGACATTCCGTCCGAACCAGTATAAATCCTTGTGTCCTCCAAGCACACCATCCGGGACAGACGCGCAAATACAAATTTACTAGCCAGTGGTTCGAAACACTAATAGTTGACACGCCAGGTAGGGGCTTTTGCGCATCTCGACGTCCACATCAGGCCTCAAATGGATAGTCACGGCGTCAGCTGGGTCCCGAGCACGCACGTGCGCTTTGGGAGCCCAGACTTCATCATCACGACGGAGGGAGAGTTGGCGCAGGCTCCCGCCGCTGTCCAGCCTCTCCACTCCGCCGGCCTCAACATGATCGTCGAGGCGCTTGAGGAGTTGTAGTTGCACGCGTCGGAGGCCCATGTCCTCGGGAGCGACTGGCTCCTCAGCTTCGACTACGGGAGGCTGGAGCGTCAACTCGACGCCTTCCTAGGACCCCGACCATCTCGAGAGGAGCTGCGCTGCCTTACTTTCTCCTTCGCCAACGCCATGATGCAACTTGACGGAGGGGAACCGCTCTCCCCGGAACACCTCACCCGGGGCGTTCCGGCAGCGTTCCCGTTCGGTCTGCGCAATGTTGCGGGGACCGTTGGCCACCTCGTGGCACAGCGCATGCACCCATCCCCTACGAACGACGAGTTAGTGGAGATGACCGAATACGTTGCGAATCTTTCCACGACCTTCTCACGGGAGATTCAGAGTCGCTCTCCAACTCTAACTCCAGCAGGGGGAGTCATCACCCCTTGCGAGAATATTTTATGGCAGGTACCCCCAAGGGACGCATCGAAAGCATCCACGCAGGAGGGGCTACCCCACCAAACGACCTCGACGACGAGGTCAAGGAAGATGCAGGGGTCCTTCCTCGTATGCGGGTGGAATTGCTAAGGGCGCGGCACCAGGAGCTCGAGGAGGCACGACTCCAACTCGAGCAAGAGTGCGCAGAGCTCGAGCGAGAGATTGAGCACCACGGAGACGGTGGGCGTGCGCATGCCATGGCCCGCGACGTGAACCGAAGAATCATCGAAGACGATGGAGCCCTCCCACACTTCGCCCGGGCAAGCCAGAACATTGTTACCGCGGCGGCCTTGCTCTGAGAGCTCCCGGAGCCTGCGACACCCAAGGATCATCGGGCCCATCGCGAGATCTACACACTGCTCGAGCGCGCGGCGGTGAAGTAGGCGGAGAGCTCACTGTCTCGGCGACGCGAGCTCGACGCCAGTCAGCGCGCGCCCTCGGGATGACATGTTAGGGACGTGTCTGTCCACCAGGCGCCGCGCGGCGGTGGGGGGCACGTCGTGGGCCCGGTGCATGAGTGTCTCATCCTCCATCGTGACGCACGTAACACCCTGGATGCCCGTAGACGTGGACGAAGCGACAAGAGAGAGGAAGCCATCTGCGGCTACCACCCTCGTCGCGGCAGGCGCTACGACAGCGGTGAGGACCAGAGCCTGAGCCCCGACCCAACGGGACCTCAAGCCTTCGGCCAACACATCCTCAATGCCGCCTTCCCATCGTGGTACCGACCGTCGACCAACATCCCGAAAATACTCCGGGGAAACGAACCCCGGACTGTGGCTCGAGGATTACCGTCTTGCTTGCCAAGCCGATGGAGCGGATAGTGACTATTTCATTATCCGCAACCTCTCATTGTTCCTGGTCGATTCGGCACGAACATGGTTGAAGCACCTTCTGTCCAACCGGATTGAAAGTTGTGTGGACCTAAAGAAGATTTTCGTGGGAAACTTCTAGGGCACCTATGTCCTGGGAACCCATGGGATCTCAAAAATTACTGACAGAAGTCCGGGGAAACTCTTCATGAGTACATCTAGGGCTTCTCCCGGCAGTGCAATGAGCTACCCAACGTCGCCGACACCGATGTTATAGGAACCTTCCTGTCGGGGACCACCTGTGAGTCCCTGGTTCACAAGCTAGGATGCAAGGGCCCACGAACCACCAAGAAACTCCTAAACATCACCACTAGCCACACCTCGGGCGAGGAGGCGGTCAGAGCGATTTTCGACCGTCCCAAGGGCAAGGCAAAGCGGGACGAGGACGCCGACGAAGGCACCTCCAACCGTCCCAGCAAGAAGAAGAACAAGCAGCGGCGCGAGGGCCGCACCTAGGACCCTGGTCGGAAATGCGTTCCAACAGGGCTTCTATTGGCCGACCATAGTAGCCGATGTTGAATAGATTGTGCGCACCTGCGAAGGGTGTCAATACTATGCTCGACAGGCCCACCTGCCGCCCCAAGCACTCCAAACGATCCCCATCACGTGGCCATTCATGATCTGGGGGTCGATATGGTTAGACCTCTCAAGAGAGCGCCCGGGGGCTATAGGCACTTGCTTGTCGCCGTAGACAAGTTTACAAAGTGGATAGAGGCTCAGCCGATCTCTGTGATCAAGTCCGAGCAAGTCGTGATGTTCTTCCTTGACATCGTCCATCGCTTTGGAGTTCTAAACTCCATTATCACGGACAACGGCACGCAGTTCACAGGGAA